ATTCCTGCACTTCCCAGTGTTTTAACTTTGACCTTTAATGCTCCAGACCACTGGACCCTGTGCTGAGTGAGAATGAGACCTTTGACTTGCTAAAAGTGTGTGTGAACAGTGTGTTCTCCCTGCCGCCTGAGATTCACACTCCAGAGAAAACAAAAGAAGAGGAGATAATTGACCCCAAGCAGAGAACGGTGAAATAAATTAAACAGAGATGAACACATGTCATAATTGCCACTGCACAAATTTTCTGTACGTTGTCTTGTGCAACCACCTTTTAATCTTGTGTAATCACTGACCCTGATGTTTGGCCCATATATGGACCAGCAGCACCAAGTAATTTTGTTGTATTTCATCAAGTATTGTGCAGAGCTACTGCTACTAATGGTTCTCCTTGAGTAGAAATACACACAAACCTTTATCTCATGTACACATACAAAATCATGTGTGACCATTTCCATGATTATATCAAACTAATATGGCCTGGTTAATCTGTACAGGCACTGTATAAAGACACGCTGGCTGCACTGCAGGAGCTGCTCGGGAGTGTACTGGCCAAGGATCCCACACCCGATGGCCTGCAGAGTGTCTTCAAGGTAAATCAAGTGTTTTATTCTGTTCTCTTCAGCTTAATGCTCACTTCTGTTTAGTAAAGGTAAGTGTTTAGTTTCCAACCAGCCAAAAATCTTTTCTTCTGAAATATATGGATTGGTTTTATTGTTGCCTGCCTGTGGTTACAAACACTGATCAGCCACAATATTAAACCCACCAGCCTAATACTCTGTAGGTTGCCCTCAGCCACCAAATCGCATGGACTCCGTAAGACCCCTCTGAAGGTGTGGTTTGTGGATGCAAAGACATTAACAGCAGATCTTTTAATTCCTGTAAGTTGCAAGGTGCATGAGGCCTCTGTGAATTGGACTTGTTTTTCCAGCACGTTCCACACGTGTTCAGTCAGACTGAGATCTTGGGACTTTGGAGGCCAAGGCAACACCTTGAACTCTTTGTCACCCTTTTCCTCACACCATTTCTGAATAGTTTTGCAGTGTGGCAGGGCACATTATCCTGCTGACAGAGGCCACTGCCATCAGAGAATTAATGCTGCCAGAAAGGGGCATTTGGTCTGCAACAATGTTTAGGTAGGTGGTATGTGTCAAAGTAACAGCCACATGATACCAGGACTCAAGGTTTCCCAGCAGAACATTGCCCAGAGCATCACACTGCCTCAGGTCGCTTGCCTTCTTCCCATAGTGCATCCTGGTGCCATCTCTTCCACAACTATACGACGCACACGCACCTGTGGCTGATCAGTTTAAGTTAAATGTAACCACAAAAAGAAAGGAAAACGTAATAATAGTCCTGCTGTGACTGCTTTTTCCTGTCTTCTTGACAGTTTCTCAAAAAAGAATAATAGTGTGTTGTCTGACTTGTGCTGTGTTTATTGGTCTGTGCAGCACATTGAACCATGGTTGAGCTCCAGGCAGGACCACGAGAGAGAGAGAGCTGTAACAGCTACTGCTCACATACTGGCTTACTACCTTGATAACTTGACTGTCAAGGTACGCACACACATGCATTTTTGTCTTGTGGGTTTGCTGTCTGACATACCTATTCTGAATGCAGCACAGATGGTAGTTTTGAGAATGCTCATAATCAGTGATGATCCACATTATTTCATGTATTCATTGTTATTAGCAATCCAAGGTCACAAAATGATATTTTCACCACTGAGGTATTTTGTCTTTACTTGATGTTCATACTGACAGTTTGTACCTTCTCCTTTCCTGTGGTTTTGTACCCTCTTGTCTAGAACATGGTATCTTTCCATAACCTCGGAGCTTTGCTGGGACGACTGTCTCCACGATGCTCTGACCCTCACCCAGCTGTGCGCACCGCTGCTGTCGACTGTATATACACACTGCTTTATATACAGCTACGATATGAAGGTACAGACACACAGAGCACCCACCTGTTACCCTTGTCATTGTGTATGAGAAAGCGTTACTTAAAAGATGCATGTTTATGTGAATAATACACATGGCAGTGATGAGACCCTGTGTATTTCTCTCAAAACTTAAATAGTCTATGTTTAACCTAAACTTGTGACCGTTTGTGTGCAGGTTTCTCTCTAGATTACAAGGATACAGCTGTGGATGATCTGTTGACCCTGAAAGGCACACTAGAAAACCCTGACCACACAGTTCTCTACAAGACCTGCTCTGACATCACAAAGGTTCACTGACTCAGCTGTCACAACATTAAACTGCACCAAGATGTGTTATTGTGCCTTATAGTAACAACAACAAACATTTTCAAAAGATTTCTCTTTGTCCTTACTCTGCTTTGCTCATACCTTCAGTGTTACTACTATATATCATAGATGTTTGTGTCAAGGTAGGGTCATAAATGCAAGTGTGTGTAGCTGCTTCTTTTTGTGTGTCTGTGTGTCAGGTGATGAGTAAGCGTCTGCCTCAGCAGCAGCTGACAACGTTGCTGTTCATGTTGTTTGAAGGGCTGGTCGACAGTCAGACAAACTGCTGCAGAGCTTCAACCGTCATTTTAAATACTCTGCTGAAGAACAGAGGAGGGGGCCTACAGGAGCTGGTAGACCACGAGCACACACACACACACACACACACACACAATATACGCATACTGTACATTCTGTGTTGCATCTGTTTGAGTTCCATAATATATAGAGCTACACCTCCAGTGCTAGATTACCAGACTCTGTTCTTGTTTGTTTGTTTGTTTTTGTCTGTGTTGTATGGTATGTACTTTAGGTCCCAGAGATGCTGGAGGTGCTCCATGTGCGTTTGCAGAGCATCACAGAGGAGCAGGTAAAAAGAGACAACAGTGTTATTCAGTTCTCTTTTTTCTTATTATGTTTTTAATAACTAAGACACAGAGACCCAATTCAATCTTTTCAGCCTTAGTTTATAATAATGTTAAGCTCACTCTGCAATTCTGTCATATATCTCATTATTTTCACAGGTGCCTACTGTAATGATCATTTGTCCTTCTGTTATCAATAGCTGCTTTACTTGTACTGAAGTTGCACAGAGAGAACTGATCCATTGTACCTCTGTTTAGGTGAGAGTGGCAGTGGGACAGACGGTTCTGATCCTGGCTTCTCAGCACCTACAGGCTGTTGTTAACACACTAGTGAACCAGCCACTTCCTTATGACAGGTATAAAACTTAGAAACAGATCAACTACACTGCACCAGCACTTCCACAGTGTTGTTTCTCTATGTAACATCAGCCACTTAATTCTTTAGGGTGGTTCAGTGGAGGACACGAAATCATTAAATGTATTTTTTCTCTGTCCAGCTGGACCAGTGAGATGTGGATGGCCTTGGGAGCAGATCCTGTTGTAGCCTGTCAGATCATAGAGATGGTGATAGAGAAGCTTGCTATCTTGGCGCCCTATGTAGACAAGAAGGAATCAATGATGAGAGGAGGGACGACAAAGGTGGCCACTAATCAGCCGCTAGCTGTAAGTCACAAACACTGACAGATGTGTCACTGACTCCACTGATATTCAGACAGGATTACTTTTATGCAGACAAACACATCCCTTTGATTGAAATATTGTAGATAATCCCATAAAATAACAGATGCCCCTGAAAGCTGCTATAATGTATTCATGTCATCTGGTGCTGATGTGGTAGGTTATTATTTTAACTTCAGTCATTTCTAAATTGACATGCAATTGCAAGTTGACAGTCACCACCTCTGAGATCATGCACAACCTTCTTCAGCTGGTTTCTTCATCCTCTGTACCAAACAGGAATTAGCAGGTGATGCTCCAGTGCTCACGTGTGTCTGTTTTTTGTTTTGTTTGTTTGTTTTCCAGATGACATGTGGTCTCAAAGAGCTGTTATTAAATGGCCATAGTCAGGAGTCGGCAGTCAGTCTGTTTCCTCGGCTCTTCTCCTGCCTCACTGTCAGAGTGGGAGTCAGTGTTGGACTCTCAGCACCCAAGGACAACAACACTAAACACACTGCTTCTGTCCATGTGGCAGGGTGGGCTTCTTTTTTTATAGTACTGGTAAAGTGTAGAAGAGGTTCCAACAGCTATTAATCCTCTTGAGGATCAAATTGTGGGTGTATGCATGTGAGCTGATGGTTCGGTAGGGATGGGACATTACATCGAAATTCAGTCATTATTTTGTCTAGCAATGTATATCGTGTGGTCTCCAAATGTAAATGAGACAGCCAAATAGAACGCGAGTCAGTATATCTGGTTGTTCTTTACATAATCAAACCAGTCCTAGAAAATGGGGAAAAGAGGAATAAAATACAAGTATTCATCAGCTAGTCTTGCATTGTCTTTGAACATTTAATTTTATCGTGATTGAATTGAATTGAATTGAATTGTATCATATTTAATTGTATCGAGAAAAAGTCACATCGTCCCATCCCTATGGCTTGGTCTGATCCTTCTTTGTGTTCCAGGGTAGCGGCTGATGCGCTGAGAATCTTGTTAGCAAGAGCCCAGTCGGACGAGGTGATGAAAAGACTGGATGAGGATAAAGCTTGGGACTCAATTAGAGAACCAAACACGCACATTACTGGAATTACACTACTAGCAAGGTACGGGCACACTTCGGTTGAGCTAGTTGGATGCAGTTTGACATCCTCATCAGAAGTGCACACCAGATAAATTTTGCACTTTGCAGTAAAATTGTTAGAAAGACCTTGACATTTCAGAGAATTTCTGCCAAACTGCTCATCATTATTGAAGTGAAATAAGTGACTTGTACAATTAAAGGTTAGAAGAAACTCAGCGTGTGGCGCTTGGTACATTTATTCAGAGTCCAAACATATATTAGGAGTTTAATATTAAGAAGACAAACACAATTACCAGCTTTGCTTTTTGCACTTTTCTTATCCTTAGACAACAATTAAAATACGATTCCACTTCTCTTGTTACTCTCACTCATAACTAGTCAATCTGTTTTGTAAATAGTAGATATATTCAGTATTTAATCCATGTGTACATTTGGTTCTCTTATGTACAGGGCAATGGCCAGACATGCTGGTCCCAGGTTGCCCGCCATTGTTGAGTGTCTGTGTCCGTCACTGAACAACATCTATGAAAGCCAGAGAATCACTGTCACGGCTTTCTTCTCTGAGGTGATGGACCACGAAATGCTACGTCCTGTCGATTTTTGTTACGTGGAGCCCCAGTTTTAATACTGATCTGAGTCAGACTGACTTTATTCATTTTCCTAACGCCCCTTTAGGGAATGAATTTAGGATAAACCAGCTCTACATACATCAGATTATAAAGAATATTGATCGTATTTACTAACCAACCAACAGGTGGAGAACATGAATAACAAGATGTTTTGTTTCTCTGCCGTTTCCAGCTATTAAACCATCATGTGGTGACAGAATTGATGTTAATAGACGTGTTAATGAACAACATGATGGAGAGAATATCAGATCCCTGTTGTACAGTCCGCATGCTGGCTGTGCGTGGGCTTGGCAATATAGCTGTGGGGTCACCTGAAAAGGTAAACACCCACATACATCAGAATAGCACACACACCGTGCGCTACCATATACATACTACTGGCTTCCTTTTCCCTGCCAGGTGAATAAATATGCAAAAGAGCTGCTGGCAGCCATGAGTTCAGGCATGGAGGAGAAGGACGATCCAGGTGAGCTCACTCCAAAGTCATTTCCTATGCTGGAAAATGCATGATTAGTCTGCCTCACCTGATTCTATTCCTAAAGCTTACAGTGTAAGCTTTAGGAATAGAATAGGGTTTGACTTTTTTGCACCATTTTCAGAATCATTATAGTTATTGTCCCACATGTTCAGCCACTCATCCTGGATTGGTTGCCACTGGTAAAATGCTACTTGCTTTACATTTCTGGCCTCCTGTCTTCATGCAGGTAAGCTGATTACTCTTGAAGCAATGTCAGGCCTCTCTAAAGTTCTGCTCTACCTGGACCAGAAGAATGTCCACCTACTAGTCGTCTATATTTTCATGAAGATAAAACCATTCTTGGAAAGTGTAAGTTTTCTTTTGGTCTTTCAAGATGTCTTGTAATCATATGGCATCTATTTCTCATAAGCAGACATGTATAACACTAACGGTATCCTCTGGCTCTGTACTCATCCAGGAGAATAATGCGATCCGCTGTGCCTCCATCCATCTAATGGGAAACCTGTCCAAGTTTGGCTCAGGAGAGCCAGTGTTCAAAGACCAGATCCACAACGTCCTGGTCAGCTTGCTGTTACACCTGGTTGATCCAAACCCACAGGTGGTCAGGGTAGGTAGTCGGCACATACACACACCGACGCACAGCCTTCTTGGTTTGGATGTACTGTGTATGAACCCTACTATACACTGCTATATTACATTTTTTTTTTTTTTTTTTTTTTTTTTTTTTCCTGTTTGCCTTTGTGCATTCAGGCCTGCAAGTATGCGATGCGTGAGTGTGCTCCCATGGTGGGATCAGAGCAGATCACAGCCATGTTTCAGAACCACCTCCATGAGGACAAGAGCTTGCACTATGGAGAGTTCATCAACGACCTCACCAAGTACCTGGTGAGATGGAGCTCTAAACATAACACATCATAGCTGAGTGAGATGAAGTGTGGAACTTCTTGAAACATTAGTTCTGTTAAATAGGTTTGATTTGTAATTCTGCAGGTTTTGGCCTGATGTAAATTTCTGTATTTTATACAAAACAAAAGTATGTTAGTCAGTTTAAAGGTGCTGTTGGTTAAGGCTAGAGCCAAAACTATATATAGATAAACTATATGTTTAGAATTGATACTGTCAAACTATTAAAAGGAGAATTGTTATACATGTTTTGTGGTTTGTAGATCCAGGACTTTCCAGGCATGCTGAACTTCTACCACATATCAGTCATCCAGTTCTTCAAGAGCTACTGGCCTGAGGTCAGAGCTGGAGCTGCCATGTTTATAGGTACAACTGCATCGCCACCACATCTTAAAACCTGCCAGAACATTTAAAACATAAAGATATTTTACATCTACTGTATTTTTTGTGTGTGTTGTCAGGGTTTCTACTGGGGAATCTTCAAGAGGAGCACTTATCCCACCTCAACATGGGTACCATCACTAAAGGTGTTGCACCTTGCAGCTTTCATTTTCTTGCACAATTAAACCAACTCACTGTGTTTGTTGTGTGGCTTTAACTGTGTTCTTTGACATGTCTCTTATGTGTGTGTGTTTGTTCACAGGTTTAGTGATGTTGCTGCAAGATCCAGATCCTTTTGTGAGAGTGAAGGCTGCTGAGGCTATGGGACATTTCCACTGACACACATTAAAAAAACAAAAAAAACAAAAGCCTACATACAAATGTATGTCCTTCAGTCACCAGTGCTTAAGTCCTGATTTGGCTCTATGTTTACAAAAGCATAAGAACCCACCATTTAACTGTGCAGTCATTATAACATCCAAATACAACTGCACCCTTCATTAAAACCAAAACAGGGACCCACACAAGAACAGGTTTGGAGCCAGAAGCCAAACTGTCACATTTGCCAGTGTTTCAAAATCATACAAATGAGCTGTGATAATACACATTCATATACACACACACACACGCTGATTTTTAGCTGTTAGCAGCTTTGATTAGCTTTTTTTAAGACTTGAAGTGTTCATTCCTTTTTCAGTGACCAAAGACTGTTGTTCTTCACAGACGGATGTTATCTGTAACATTTAGCGATCTGCGAGTGCGACAATACCAGAGATACACTGTGTCAATGAAATATATTCGACATCTACAAGTTTCTAATGCAAAGGGTATCAACACATTTGAACCAGTCAATTTTTTTTTTTTCAGAATAAATATAGTTTCTTCAAATATTAGGTGTCTTTAACCAGTAGCTGAAGTGTGTGTGTGTGTGTGTGTGTGTGTGTAGCCTTGTTTTTCTATACTTGTGCGCCCCAAAGTCCATGAGTTATCTTCACAGGGATTAGACATCACTCTGGTCCCCACAACGTAGTTTGTCGAATTTTACAAAAATGATTGGGTGTAAGGTTAGAGCAAGTGTCGGCTGTTGTTAAGGTTGGAGGTTATCTCCTGGAACCAAATGTAAGTCTAGTAGGGGCCCATTAAGTGATGAAAACAAGGGTGTGTGTGTGTTTGTAGCCATGCCAGCATTTTGTGATAGTGTTTTAGTGTCTCGTTAATACATTTTAAATCTGTTAGATGTGCGGTGCTATGAGTAATTCTCTAAACATATCTATTATTATAGAAATTACTGCTAAATGCAGAAGAACTGCACCATCCAGTGGGTCAAAGGTGTAAATAAAGGAAAGCTGGAAATCAGGATGGCCTGTGGTCACAGTGGGTCATTTCTGCTGAACATGATTAGTGAGCTTTAGCTTTACACAGGTTGCTTGGCCACAGTCACTTTAATGTGTTTCTGGTTCAGCCATGCTAAAAACAGTCAGTGCCAAATGTTCATTGACATGGTCATCAGTTTTAGGGTACAGTTGTAGGTTTGTAGGCCTCTTAATATTATGTAAATATATGTGTGAGAGTTGTATTATGTGAGGATGTCTTTATGTCTCCAAATATACTTCATGACAAAACTGTCCAGTAGAGAGACAGGTGAAAGAAATACATAGTTTGTGTATATGTCTACATTCAATATTTCTGTTGCACCTTTAAGCTCTGCCACGTAGCCCCTGCTTTAAGAACTGGAAGGCAACCGTGAGCGAAATTGCTTCACGAGTTATGTGGAGAACACTTTAATGTGTAACAGGAAGGCGGACCTTTCTCCACAGTGTGACGCTTTCTTTGTGGCTAGATAAAAAGCTCGAGAAGCTCACAGTCAACCTGTAAATGTAATAAAATATGTGGCTGCTCCTGGGTCTATACCAGATGTCTTGGCTGTTCTACAAACAGGGATTCAGAGCGTCTAGCATTTTCTAACACTATGGTTCGGTTTAGGGTGAAGGGTGAATAGTAGTTAATGGCTCTTTTAAATATTGTTATAAACTTTATACCAATGTTGTGATTTGTCATCTATCTGATTTTTGACATGTTGCTAATGTGTGTCTCAGTATGTGGGTGTGTAGTTTGACTGTCAGATGGTTCGATATGGGGATGGGGTGTTAAAGTGTGAATGTGTGCATGTCACTTTTCATATGTCACTTGATGAGAAGAGCGAGTGGGTGATGGCAGTGTATTTAAAATGGAGAAATAAACAGATCCCTTAAAACCTAATGTGTGATTATTATTTATTTTTACCAACTTATTTGTACCCTGTGCGCATTTGCTCTTTGTGTAGCGGTGCTGGTTTGACATTATGTTAATGTGTCTTAGTTTTCTGCTTTACAGTTACTTCATCCCCAAATTTGTATTAAATGCACATTTGGCTTGCATGTTTCTGCAAAACTGAATATGCAATGTACTTTTCGCTGTGTCCATGTGGGTGCAGTAAAGTATGGTGATCGTGTAATGAACATGTTAGGATCTTTAAATCTCCTACAGCATCTGATGACACACCAACAGAGAACAATACTGGATTTATATTTATGAATCTGATTGATCATTGAGAAAGCATATTGGTTAATTTCATGTCACAGTGTTGCTATATGTTAGGGACAGTTTGTTTTAATGCACCGACAGAAAGGTAGGTTAGACACATAGAGTCGACGCTACCAGGCTCATTTCAGCATATTGCTTTCACCGCTCTTTATTAAATCTTTTAAGTTGTCTGCTTTTTGATCACATTCTTCACCCATTGGACATGTTGCAGTATTGCCATTATTATTTGTGTGTCAGGTCGTTCATGTGATGCCATACTGGAGCTGTCTTGACCTGCTGTCTATGTGGACTGACTCATCTGAAAGCACAGCGGAGAGTTGTACAAGGTCACGCTGTGCGACTGCAGCTGTCCTCTGTTTGTGTGCTTTAACCACAACAGTGTACAGTAAATATGAGCCGCTGAGCTCTTGTATAACAGCTTCAGTTACAGACAGACAGTAAACAAAACTCTTATGTGCATCAGGGGAGAGCAAATATTATCAGACATCATTCTTCTGGCTCTATATTGGTTTTTGCCTTTTTGTGTGTGTAAGAAAGAATTGGATCTATGTATGCACATGTATTTTGTGGAAAGTAATTTGTTTTTTGAATTAATACAACATCCTGTGACTCCCAAATTGTGCTAATACTAAAAATGTGCAATCCTGTGCTTGTTTAATTGTGAAACTGTTTCTTTTAGTCTAATAATACTGAGTGTGATGGGTAGGTGTGTGTGTGTGTGTGTGTGTGTGTGGACAGTATGCAGTATAACGGCAGTAAAGTTTTATTCATTCCCAGTCAGTGACAGATACTGGTGCACTTAGGAAGCTTTTCACTTGATGTCTGACATTTAGGTCTTTGCTCCACATTAGCATCTTAATTCATGTATTTTAGTTGAAATCCACTGTAAGATTTCAGGTAAGTATTACCTCATTTTCTGTGTATGAAAGCTACTTAGTGTCATTTCCCCAGGAGAATCAATAGTGTGGTGGTGTTGTTTATGGCACCTTCTGATCAGTCAGCAACTGGACAAGATTAGAAGGAGCTGTAACGTTATACAGTATTCTCACTAATGAGGACTAACACAGATTGGTGAATAGCTGAATTTATGCTCCTTTCAGGAAACCAGCTCATTATTCCAAGTGCTGATCCTCAAGAACCAATTTACTATAGACGCTAATGATAATGTTCTGAAGCCCTGGTGAACTGCACCAAGTGTCCATGTGAAAAAGCACTAGCACACAGATAGCCTGTCCAGTAATACTCTTAGTGCTGAATAACACTCCTTTGTCCTGAACACGGCCAACAGCTGCATGAAGTTGGTGGGATGTGCCCTCCAAACATAACATCATAATCCTAAACAAATGCATTTGCATTTTTGCTGAGGTCGAAGGAAATGGAGCTTTATTTTGAATTTTAATGAATCCGAGTTCTGTAGAGAAACATAGTATTTATTACAGACACTTAACCTTTAACAGTGCATACACACATACATACATACATACATACAAACATACATACATAATGATCTTTCAAGAAATAGCAGGAAACACTCCTCATATCTACAGTACATGTAATCCTAATTTTATAGTGTCCACCACTGAAGAGACTCCTGGTCATCTTGTATAGACAACATCTTGTGCCTTCCAAAACATTTCTTTTGCTTTTCACACTGCACACTTTTAGCCCAGGGTTACATTCAGCAGGCAGGGTTGGAGGTGAGGAGTCTGTGCAGTTTCAGCCCCTTTTCTTCCAACCCAGAGACACTGATGTTGTTTGGTTGCAGACTGTGATATGAAATGCCTTTTTAACTTTACAATTGTGTATAGTTAAAGTGAAGCGAAATTCTGCTGTGCAGTGCTTTGAGTGCACTAAGGAACCAATCGATGATGCAATGTAAAGGGCAGACACCTTAGAGGCTCACTGAGGTCCAGTACAGTTTATTTTGCGTTATACCCACACGTCCTACTGCCTCACATAGTCCCTAGAGCACCAAATCTGCCACAACTGGAAATGTACAGTTTACTCCTGTTTCAGTAACATTTGATAGATACTACACTGTCCATCAGTTTTAGGAGACTACAGAGCTTTTTCTAAATAATACAAGTATATAATTAATATCCGTTTCAATGATTTACATCTTCAGTGGAAACATGGGTGTGGGGCTAAGTTGCCATAAAGAGGATGGGGAATTTGGAACGTACTAAGAGACAGACTAGCTCACTGTTGGGTTTGGCTGTTTCATCAGATTTCATGACAGTAACAACGATGGAAAAAAAAAATCTGCTTCAATACAGTGTTGAATACTGTGGACTGGATCTCCATACTCATTTGCTTAGCATGGAGAGTCAGGATTCAGAAATTTCACAGATTGCAGGATCTGCCTTTTTGTTAATTTATTCTACTTTCTGCTTTCAATAGGATGCTAAACTCTAGGACCCAGTCGAACCAGCCCTGGGTTACAGTGAGTGCAGTGTGAAAAGGGCTGAATGTTTTTGTGGGCTTTTATTGGCGGAGGTGGGGGTTGTAACTCAGGTTTTGGTGAAAGCAAGCCATGCCTTTAGGAGGAGTATTCATACTCCTCTGCACTGCGTCGTCCAAAGTCCATCCAGCCAAGGTAGTCTCTGTCCTTTATCCTGTGGCTGGGGGCTAGACCACTGGCTCTGCTGGTGAGGGATGATCTGGTCTGGTAGGGAGAGGCTGGGGGAGACGGACACAATGAGGGAATGACACTGACTGAACTTCAGGATAATGATGATGACATTCTGCTCGGCCAAAACATGATCATATTGCACGTTGATTCTACCTATACTAACAGGTTAATAATGTACAACCTCTGAATTCATGCTGACTTGTACTGTTTGTTTCTGTAAGATCAGTGAGCTCAGCAGTTCTCCCAGTCAGTGCTGACATGGGAGAGGGACAGACACAGAATGACAAAGGGAACAGAGTGAGGTCAGGAGATGGGGAGAAGAGTGAAAGAGGGAATGATAGTGGAAGCAGGGAGGGAGAATGGAATGAGGAAGAGGCACGGAGAGATGGATGGAGGAGAGATGAAGCTAGAGGGAAATGCCAGATGGCGGGACTCAAGCACAGCATGAGTGGCAACAGATTACAGAAGGATGGATGCTGGGAAGAGAGGAATAATACAACCAGGGGCAAGACAAGACAAGAGGAATGTCAGGAGTGTGTGATGAGATGAAATGACTACACGGTCTCCATCCTGACAGTAGTTGGGCTGTGCATTCAGCTGCTCACCTTTCCTGGACATGAGTCTGACCAGTAGCTGGCTCAGACTGTTTCGAGCATCTGCGTCCTCCTGGGGTTGGTTGTAGTTGGCGAGCTGCCCTGAAGTGAGCGCTGGAGCTGAGCGGGCGTGGCGTGTGTGGCTGGGTGAGGGAGGAGGTAAGCTATCTGACACGAGGGCCTCGTTCTCAGCTCTCTGGGACTGGATGTTATGAAACAGCCAAGAAGAAAGAAGTAATGGATCCAATTTCAACACTTTACTGTGCCTTGTAAAGCTAAGTTATAATCAGCCCATTTTCATTTAACAAGGAGTTAAGCATGTGTACCTACATACATCCTCCTGCTACTCTGTAAGTGGGGTGGGACTGAAACATTTACCACTTTACTTAATGTATTGCTGTCTTTAAACCTCTTTTGATAGATGATGGTTAAAATGATTAAATGCAGAGATGCCAAGACACTTCTGGCTGTGTGTGTGTGTCTTACCATGGACTGTGAGGGCAGACTCAGAGAACCACTGGACAGAGCAGCCAGGAGAACACACACATAGATACCTACATTCATGACTGAGGAGAGAGAGAAGTGGACAAAGTATAACAAAGCGATAAGAAATCCAACACACCTAATAGGGTGACTTTTTTTCTGTCAGGTCACTCCTCACTGCTGACTGTTCTCTTTTACTGTCTCTTCATCTCATTATATGATGTATGTGCTTCTCAAATCACAGGTAACATGATTTTTGCGAAAGCAGCAATACATCATTTTACAGTCACTGAAGCTGCACAGTGAACAAGAGGTGAGCTTTGATGGTTCAGCTGCAACTTAAGCAAACATCATTTTGCCCCTCGCTGAGTCACAGAGTGATGGGCCAATTTGTTATTGAACACATACTGTATGTACACATATGCATAGTTGGTGTGTGCTACTATTTGAACAAGGTTTCATATGAGATTTGATATGAACATGGCAGCACTGAACAAATAAATTACATGAAATTCTCCTTTTTGTTATTCACCTACCCACATAAAGACTGAAAAAAAAACAATTTGTGATATAATTATAATTTATATTCATACAGCCTTGATCTGTTTAGACAAACATCAGTTATATTATTTCTATAAAAGAGCAGCTCTATATTAGTGTGAAGAAAATATGCAACATGCACAAGGCAAAACCATATAAAAGACAGGATAATATTACATTGGACTGATTTACCAACACTGCATTTGTTTTGGTTGTTTTGGAGCAAAGCAGCATATTACTCATGATAAATGATGCTCTGTGCCACAACATATATCAAGAGGAAAGCATCCAATTAGATTAAAACACCAGTTGCTCTGAGGCTTTCAGCTTCTAATGAGTCAAAACCTGACTTCCCCTGTCCGTCTCAGTGTTTTTATTACAGTGATAGCTCTAGCTCTTAGTTAGTTTACTGTTACTCAGTGTCTTCATTCAGTCGCTCCCTCTTTTTCCTGTTTCTTGCCTGGCTCTATGTATCAAGTCATGGAATGCTCCTTTTGTGGCGTAGGAAAGCACACACATAGGTTTAATACAGTGGCGTCTCCTTGGAGAAGAGCTGCTGCTTTTAGTTTTACATGGAGCTGCACTTTCAACTATTTGTTAAAGCATATAACCCAGAATCTAAATAGCTAAACATGCACACTCCGACAAAGATATGTTCCTCTCTCGACAGCCTGGAATCCAGTTACTGACTGGACATGATGACTACCAGCTCTCTTCAGCTACATGACAGAAATACACTGGAACCCCTTCGTTCTGTAGTTTTAAGTTGAATGATAACTAAAGCCTGTATGATTTTTTTTTCTCTGTAACCTAATGTAACGGTCCATTTGAATATTTCTGGTTTAAACTGACAGTGGTGGTGTAAATAGTCATTCTCTTGATGCTAATATAATTCCTGGTAGCAGCTGGTCATTGTCTCTCTTTCATTATTCAATGGGCTATAATGATGAGGTACTGTAATGTGTGTGAAAATCCTCTCCTCTCCCCTCTAGAATAAATCGACACATAAATAATAAAAAGTGTGTGTGTGTGTGTGTGGGGGGGGGGGGATTTTATCCCCCAGATGAATAAGTATATATTTTTTCCTATAATGATTCATGATCACAACTTTGCCTACAATACTGACTCCTGTAAAAATAACCATTTAATTTGAAGTAAATATATTTGCACATATTATATGCACGCACAAGATTTTTCTCCAGGCAGAAGTTCAAAGGTCAAACTAAGTCTAATGTCATAACCTCATTATTTGCACAATCAGACAGTACAGATTATATGTTTTATATATGTTCACCTAAAGCTACAGCTCTGACTGAATTAACAATATGGACAGAAATAAAATAGGAACTTGGCGTCAAATTAAATAAACCAACTTTTAAGATTTGCAACCCTTTTTGTCAACTTTTCAGATGAAATATGAATATATGATTTTTTTTCCTGGACCTGTACTGCAAAAGCCCCAACAAAAGACAGATAACTGAAAATGGGAAAAAGCTTAGACACCTAAAAGTACTTTGTCTCAATAGTTTCTGATTTGTACTGTATCCCATAAGTATGTACTGAACCAGTAAGTAAGGACACACATTTCAGAATTTTTCTATTCTTACCTGCAGTTGTTGGCGTGGACCAGGAGAGGATGAGTGTGAAGATACTAGCTTTGCTCCTCCGGTGCTGAGGCTGTGAGTGAGACAGAGCGAGGGAGGACCATGTTTTATACTGACACACAGGAAGGAGCCGGGGCCTGGTCAGAGGGGAGGAGCCTCCTGCTGCTGGCGAAGAAACTGATGCTGCTGACGCAACTGAAGACGTAAATGTGCACACATACAGCACTGCAAACGCACAAGCAAACAGACATGGGCACGCATCAAACTATAAATGAGAAAGAGTTTGGACAGTGGTGACAACTTTAATTGTGTAGCCTTCTTGCTAACCTGTGTAAGGACACACGCATATAAGCACACAGGTGGGTTGGTTGTTGAGAAATACATATTCACTTGTGTAAACATAAATACAAAGCAAATATGTCCCACATTGCAGCTCAAGGCTGGAAGATATTTCACTCCATCACTGTGTTTGAGCTTCATTTTTAATAGACCAGAAGCAACATGCAGCTCAGAGCTGTTCCAGTTTCACTGAGGGCAAGATGACTTTAGCTGATCAAAACTGCAGGCATTGTTTAGGTGTGACAAGCTGCTGCAGTTTCATACAAACCAGGTTTGTCCTTCACACTGCACCACTAGTGAGTACCAACAGAATTCTGACAAAATGAGTCAGTGTAGAAAACTGGACTTTTAGTAAAGCTTTATTATGTCTGGTCCACGTTCAGCCTGACAGACCTGAAAAAGGATAAAGTTTTCAATAAATGAACACATCATTCTTTGATTAAAAAAAAAAAAAATCTTCTCACCAAAATTGGAGACCAGTGGAAGTTGGGTAGGCCATGGGTATTAATGCTAAGTGTTTTCAGTTGCCCTGTCAATCTGAGGGTGATAACATGAGAGAAATGTTTTAGAAATGTTGTACAACAAATTACTGAACGTTTTTAAGGTCTCTTTGAACGACCTGAATAAAGTGTATTACAAGCCTCAAGGTCAAAATAAACTAAAAAATGTTTTAATTGACATTTAATTGACTTTTTTTTTTTTTTACATCTGCTCAAAATCTCAGGAAGTCAGTAAGCAAAGCTAACAGAGAGAACATGCTTTGTGGAGAGGCTCAGTGACGTTCATGCAGTACGTTAAGGGAGTTCATCTATAAAAGGTCCGTTACAGCTGCAGGAACTGACTTTAGCTTTTTACTCACTGTTCAAACTAAGGCATCACGTAATCAGTGACTGACTTCTTTATTTAAACCACAAATCTATTTGAGAAAACCATGTTGTACCAATTGTAGTGCTGATCTCTGTCACAGTGAGCTCCAGGTATATGGCTGTCATGTAGCATGGAGACTTACAGCTGAGCTGCCTTCACGAGCCAGGACTCATTTATTATTCCTGCTATGTCTGTTTAAACACTGATTTGCTTGCAGAGCTCATCTGAACCGTTTAAAATTCTTCAGCTGTTCAGCTACTGCCAACAAAGTCTCTAAAGCTTTTCTGAAAAATAGTTTCACTCTTCAGCTTCATGTAGTTCAAAAAAAATTCGATTACAGTTATGACCAGCGGGATTAAACCCAGGGGATCTTTGCTGGGACTCGGGCTTAAATGAATAATGTTATATTAGGTGAGACTATTTTGTCATTGTTTGTAGATGTCTGTGAAGTATAATACTTCTCTGTTTTCAGAGTTTGAAGGCCGATCACAGAACTGCGTCACTCCCCAGGCAGTAATACACAATACTGGTGAGATATAACTAGAAGATATAAAACATCGCTGTATACAGCTGATATATTTTATGTCTATAGGCTATATCATGCCTCTTTTAGTGTAACTACAGTATAATGACATCATGTTACTGTGGTCTGCGGAGCTGCACTGCTAAACGTGATACTTCTGCACATGTATTTTAACAGCAGTTTGTATAATGTGCAAATCATACACAGTTCTGTGGCTTAAGTATTGTAATATGTATAATGCATATAGCTCTTAAATGCGCTTTTGTTTATTTCCTATTTTGTATGTATTAATGTTTCACACAGTTCTTCCTGTTTTTTTCCTCTTATAATCAGTAAAGTTGTATTTTATTTAAACTATGACCTGGAATTTTCAAAATTTGTTTGACCATATGTTGCAAAACAAACAAACAAAAAAACCCACCCCTGAAATAACTGAAATGATGCATCTTTTGTTCATTGTCAACAGACTAATGGACAGTTTTAAGGGTGCGGTCGTCATAAAACTACATACTAAGAAACATGTCAACTTTATATTTAAACTCAAGAAGTTTTAAAAGATGAGTTTGACTGAAAGTGTGTGATTGTGTGTGGGTTTCTGAGGGAGAGTGACTGTGTACCTGGTGTGTCTTTAGCTCAGTTCCAGTATGTTAATGAGGCTAACATTAGCAGCCGTTTAACTTTTGATGGGGTGTTCACATGAACACTGGCACCTTCTGTCAGACACATGCACTAACAACATTTTGAACACTGTCACCTGGACATTATGGTGTCCATAACATTTATCAGTCTTTACACGATGAGTAACAGCTAAATGTCACCGATCCTCCCTGCTGCACACATTAAGAAAATAAAGTACAACATTTGCTGTTTATTTTACCCTCCATGTCTGAATTTCTTATGAAAAACACTGACCACAATTTTCAAAATCAAATCCATATTGGGTGTGTTTCTGAGCAAACGGGCATCTGAACAACTGACTGGAAGCCTCCTAATCCACTCTCCTCCCACAGGATTTCATTACAGAAGTGCAGCTGTAAGCCTCATCAGATGGGATCTGTCTGGTTTTAGGGGAAAAAAAGATGAATATAAAGTCTAATATAAATAAATAAATAAATGCTTACTGTGTTGAATGCGTGATGAAGCCACATAGTTCACTTGATACACATTTCTGCGGTTTATGTTCAGACCAGAACCATGGGGCCAAAATCTATAACGAACACTCCCTTCCTCTTCTTCCTTCACTGCCAGTCTGAATTAATCAGACTGTACACACTACAGACGGTATGCTCGTTACTGCAGAGACCTACAGTGTGTAAATCTACATAAATTCCATGACTTTCACTGTATGCAGACATGTCTGTTCAAAAGGACATTTTGCCATGATCATACATGTGTTGCTGTTTTGCTTTTTTTTTTTGACTGAACCTTTGCTTGTTAAAGGGTTAGAATAATTTTCTTTTATATTTAATTTCTTCTGGGTTTAGTCACAGCAGTTGTACAGCTGCTGCTATATCTACTTTTTGTACATGCCAAAGTTGGGGCTTTGTGGAGGAAATAGCGGGCTGTGCCATGTCCTGAGCCCGTGCTGCTGCAGGTGTTCAGAGTTCAGGTCACCTGCTGAGCGTCACACGCTCATCAGGTCAGGAGTGTTTCCCTCTCCGGGCTGTGGTGTTGTATCTACTCCATGCTGGGACGCCTCACTCCAACAAGCTAAGTGCTGCTTTCCTACATTCATGTTGTTGTTTTGGCTCTCTGCAGTTGTTGATTTATGTGCGGGTCTCCAGACTGCTGTCTGCGTCACGGCCATGTTTAGGAGTTGGCTTCTGCCTCTGCAGCCATGCTTATATGTGCAGGCCTTGTGGTGGTGGCCTTTGGTTGTAGACAGGGATGTCCATTAACGTTATGCTTTCAGGCTGATTTGTGGTGAGATGAGATAGCTGGGACGGTTTAGCAGCATATTTCCCCATTGGTTAACAAGATATGTTTACTTCTTTTTTTTTTTACTATTACGAGAATTGAGTAGAAAAGCTGTATGCTATATCCTACGAATTATGGCCCTGGTGTGGAGACCTGCAAGGTCTGATTAATGCATCTTAAGAATGAACTTCTCAAGGGAAATAAAGCGAGGCAGCACTCCACAGCTTTTTCTAATTGATCTTTTCATCAATACTTATGCTTCTCTTTGGGTCATAAAATCTCTCTCTATCTGTGATCTTGACAATATCAGTGTCTCTATCTGTCACTGTTTGCATGCATGATAGAAATTTCTGAGGCAGTTGATTTAACAGGGGAGAACTGTGTTGTTTCAGGAGAAATGTTCAAATTACCAGATGTTATTAAATGTCCTTGAATGTTTGCAAAAATAATCCTTACATGTTCTGAATTGTTAGCAGACAGGAACTGAAGAAAGCTGGGTTGGACTGACTTTTGCCTTGCATAACATAGTTTAAAAAAGGCAGATAGAGCAAGATTACATGCTTGGGAGAATGTCATAGAGTGCAGAAACATGTTTAAATTAAAATCTCTCTATCAGAAATGACAGTGTAAAGTCGTGTTTAAAATGAAAAAAGGGGTAAAAGTGAGTCTCATGTGCTCATAATGCTCTCTTGTCATATCCTGCTTGGTTTGCAGACACATACTGTGTGATCATTTCTGGTTTATTAAGTATACCTATACAATCTAATGCAGTCAACTTATCTCTGCCGATGCTGTAATCACCACATGTGAACAAGTGTCCAACAGCTGATCTTGCCATGGTAGAACTTCACACCAATTTATCTGTCTTAAAGTGTCCTGGTGGCAGAAGGCTGGTGTGAAGCACTCTTTGGTTTCTCTGTATGTGAAGGTTCTTTCTCTGGCAGAGGAAGAAGCTGTTCAGATGACGTCATGATCTGTTTACATTGTATTCTGTAACACGCTGTAACTGAATGATGGCTGGTAGACTGGCTGCGACCTGAATTGGCTATATTATGAGTTTACTGAAGGAGACCAGACGTGATATTGCATTCACTTTTAATGTTACTTTTCAGAGTGGTTCAACAGGCCCACCATGCTTGTTTAGGACAGCCCCCTCCCAAACTGTGTTGATACATAACACGTAATAGGCTACATAGCCCAGCGTAATGTACACAACAGTGTCTCTAAGTCATCACCAGTTTGTTAACGTCTGTATTATCAGAGGCTCCACAGTGTAAAGTATACAGAGAATGGGAAAGGCAGGTTCTATAAGGGATCTGTTTGGTCATGAAGCTTAATGAACCAAGATGTTTCACCGACTTGGAACCAAATCCAAATCAAAACCCAAAATGAACCTTCTTAGATTGGTGTCAGAGGGCAGCGTTTGGCACAAACTG